GGGCAAGAGACCAGACCAGGCTGCGGGGAAAAGTGGCAGAAGAGCCTAGACAGGAACCCAAAATTCCTCAGCCTCAACATTCCTCTGCTGTAGCAGCCATCTAGGAAACCCAGTGGGAAAACCTGTCTCATCCTCTTCTATAGGCCAGTTAACATATAGGGTGACAACCTACTACAGCTGTAAGGTTCCCAACGCAATTGGCAGAGATCTGTGTGGTGACTCTAAAGGCAATACCACATGGTGGGATTTCTGTTTCTTCAAGCTGCTTCTTGTGAAGCCAGGACCTTTCACACACAATGACATTAAAAAGATCATGAAGGTTGCAAAATTAAGCACTCAGATGTTAAAGCCCAATCTTCCATAATTAACATAACTCCTCTCAGGGGAGAGTCTTCTTCTGTAAACTGATGACTGTCCTTTTTGCTATCATCTGTTGTCATGCTGGGTCACGGATTCAGAGAGTTGTCAGGAGCAGGTAAAGGCACACCTGTTGTGCTAGCTGCTGTCTCCCAAAGTGGGAAGGAAATTCGGCTAGGGATGTAGAAAGGAGCGTAGTCTTTAGTCCTTGACATTCTCTGGGACAGGTGATCTCTTTGATTTCCAGAGCATGCTAACCTGTGAAAATAGCTTCTGACCAGTGGTGACTGGTGCCTGAAAAGGCCATGTGGGGGCACCCCATTTGGCAATTGAAATTTTGGTGGGGGTACAGAAAAGGGCAGTACACTTCCCGCTAAGGTTGCCGGTATTTTCTGGGGATTTTTACCAGACACATGCCGCAATTACAGGGCTGTCCAGTCCAGTGCCAGACACCTGGCAACCCTACTTCCTGCATGCTGCCACAAGTCACTCTGCTTCTGACATCTCCCAGCAAACAACAGTCCTATTTTACCGGCGCTTGCTTGTCATTTTGTACAAGGAAAGTTCCATCTGCTCTTTCTCAGGGCTGGTTTGCAGCATCTTGATTCAAGCCTTGATAGCGCTGTTTCTTTGGAATCACCCCCCAGCACATATTGTGTGTATGCCGTGCGCCATGCCAGGCTGTGTATCTGTGGGCGTCTCCCTCAGAGACAGTGTGACAAGGGTTTCTGCTGAGACACTTCCCCTGCCTGAGAAATGTGATAATCACCCTGCCATGCATGGCCTGGACTGTCTGATTTCCATTATAAAATGCACTTTATGAACACAAGTGAGGAAAACAGCATATTGGATCTAATGAGGGTTATTGCGGGCCAATTAGACTCTGTATATAGTCTGGCACCCTCAGGACCTGATCGGTTCTGAACGAGAGAATTTTCCAGACCATGAGAGGTCAATATTCTCTAGCAGCATCACCAACACTTCCACTGCTTACTGGGGTCTTAGAAATCATTTAGGAGTAAATTAGAGCTAAATAACAGCACAGAACACTGAGAGCCAGGCATGGGGGCTGTAAACCAACTTTATGGGACCATGGAAAACTTGGCGACACCCACGAAAAGTGGACAACTGTTTACCTAAAATCATTCCAAATGATGAATGTTTCCATACCAGAGAGTTCTGGACAAGAGAGAAGTTTTCTATCTATCTATCTATCTATCTATCTATCTATCTATAATAATAATAATAATAATTAATAATAACAATACACATATTATGGAAAAGAATTAACCATTTACACATCCACTTTTTATAGGTGCTCACCTGCCTGTAGAAATTGATATTTAATTGGGATTCCCCTCTGTTGTTCTTTTCTGAAACAAGAGCTATCAGCCATTGGACATAAGAACATAAGAATAGCCAGACTGGGTCAGACCAAAGGTCCATCCAGCCCAGTATCCTTTGTGCTGACAGTAGCCAATGCTAGGTGCCCCAGAAGGAGTGAATCAAACAGGTAGTGCTCAAGTGATCTCTCTCCTGCCATCCATCTCCACCCTCTGACGAACAGAGGCTGGGGGCACCATTCCTTACCCATCCTGTCTAATAGCCATTAATGGACTTAACCTCCATGAATTTTTCTAGCTCTCTTTTAAACCCTGTTATAGTCTTAGCCTTCACAACCTCCTCAGGCAAGGAGTTCCACAGATTGACTATGCACTGTGTGAAGAAGAACCTTAATAGGATGCAGGCTCTAAATACTATGGAAAACCGTTTAACCGACCCTCCATTATCCAGCTGCCTGTATTTACTGTACAAGCGCCCTCAGGTCGGAGAAGTGGCAAGCTCTTCTGTGGCTGCTAAACCGCACTTCAGCCTTGGATTTTCCCACTCTCCAGAATATCCGAATTTATAATTGTCTGCTTTAGCCTCTATTGCAATTAGATCAGATAAATTAAGTTCTGCTGGGCTGGTATAATTCCTTAACTAGAACTTGACGTGAAGACCCAACGTACAGTTTGTTTTGTTTTCTGCCTTTCTCTCCCTCGCTGCACATGTCCTCCATTTTCACTGCCACCAGGAGATTTTAGTTGTGTTCACTTATTGGCTTCAAGTCAAGGATTGACAAAACTCCAGTATTATGAAAAGGAAGAAGAGGGGAGGGGACTGGCTGGCTCAGGAGGATTATTAATGGGATGCAGAACCTTTTATCTCTAGGTTTCTAGGCCAATTTAGTCCCAGTGACCGAAAGTCCTTTGAAACACAGCAGGGCTTTTTTATTTTATTTTAAAATAACTTTCATCCATATGAAAGTCTTGGGCCTGATTTTTTTCACGTGGGCTGAGCGCCTGCAGCTCCCATTGGGAGCACCCCTAAAAATCCGGCCAAATGAGTATGAATAAAAGAGGAAATTCACGTATACACTTCCAAATGGAGCCGTGGTCCAGCAAGCCTGGCCAGATAGTCCTTGTAAGGCACCAGGACATGGATGTGAAGTGCAGTATAAATGGTATAATTGCTGACCATCCCACACTCTGTCACCTGCTCTTGCTAGAGGGACTTTTGCTTTCATGAGGAGGACACGTGCTAATTAAATTACTTTGTGATGGGTGTGACTTTGTGTCTCTGGGGTGCAACCTGGACTGTGGGACAGCTGAGCCTCCAAATCTCACCAGCCTTTGGAAATTTCAACTGGTCCAGAATGTGGCTGCTCGAGACTTAACTAATCCTAGTTATACGGAGCACATTATGCCAGTGCTTCAGCAGCTGCACTGGCTTCTGGTATGTTTCCGGGCACAATGTAAGGTTTTAGTTACGACCTATAAAGCCTTAAATGGGTTGGGTCTGGGGTATCGGAAGGACCATCTTCTCCCATATGAACCTGCCCGAGGATTGAGGTCAGCTGGGGAGGCTTTGCTTCGTGTTCCCCCAATCGTGGAGATAAGATTAACATCTATGCAGAACAGGGCATTCTCAGCTTTTGCTTTCATGCTGTGGAATTCTCTTCCTCGGGATATTCACATGGCGCCAACGCTAGCATTGTTTCGGCATCAGGCTAAAGCCACCCTTTTTACTCGTGCTTTTATTAATGTTTGAGTCTGTATGTGTGTGTTCGCTATATGTTTTTAGCAGGTTTTATGTCCCTCTGGGGTCTTGTATTTTAAATTTTTCTATATATTTGTATTGTGTTGAAACTTTTTTTTTGTAAGCCACCTCGAATATTTTAAATACAGAGGCGGGGTAAAAGTATTTTAAATAAATATATAAATAAATAATATGCCTCATGCTGTGACGCTATTGCCAAGCTACAAGCCTCTGATAGGCACTGTATATACACAGCCTCCACTGGGCAGGAAGACATGCAAATGAGTTACATGAAGTCTCACAGCCACTCGTTAATCAATGATGAGCCATTGACACTGTGGGGGGAAGGCTGGCTTAAGGTATGCAACTCCAGCTATGTAAATAACGTGGCTGAAGTCGACATACCTTAAGCCAACCTTGACATTGTCTCCACATGTAAGGGGACTGTTAGTCCCTTACTAAAACTCTGTGAGAGTTTTTGGTTCGCCAGCTCCCAGTATCAAAAGGGGGAAGGGTCCATGAGAAATCAAGGCCCTGAGATTGACAGACCCCAGAGACAATGGAAAGCAGCCAACACTCCAGCTCAGCCTGATTGACAGGTTAGACAGGCCAGTGAGGAAAGTAAGAGGCCAGGCCCTGTCCTTCTTGTGAGCTGGGACTTTTCTGGGTCTCTCTGAGCAAGGAGAGAGCTGAGAGACAGCTAAGAGGAGCAAGCTGTGTGGAGAAACAGTCCTGCAGCAACAAAGCCAGGCACACACAGCCCAAGCTCTGTTCAGCCCATTCAGTAACATATTAATGTCTTGAGACAAGGGAATTACTACTTCTTCGTAAGAGGTGTTCCACTACAAATGCCTACCCAATCCAAATGCAGGACCAAATTCCATCCAGAAGTAAACCCCTGTAAAACCCCAATAATTTCTCTAGCTAAGGGCAAAATTGGGTCCTGCCCAAATTCTGTTCACCCTTTTTTTCTTGCAATTTGGGCCCTTTACATCTACGGGGAAGAGGAGGGAGAGGTGGGACGATGCTAACTTTGAGGCTGACAGCAGAAGTAGTCCGTGGAGAGAGAGATTGCATCCCAATAGCATCTGATCTCATTCTATTCATGGCAAATCTGTCCTGCATTTGTAATTTTTCCTTAGAATCAGCTACCCATTGCCAAGGAATGTCTGCAGAGCAATTATGTGGAAGCAGATGCTAATGTGACCTTAGGGAGGGCGGCAACCAGAAATAGTGCAGTTGTTCAGATGAAGCTTAGCTTTTAATGATGGTTAAAGAGTGCAAAAACTTGGCCCAGCACCTTAAGGACCAGAGGCTGGCTTGGCAGTTGCCTGCATACAGAGCTGACAGATCAGTGGGGCTAATTGTTTCTCTGCCCCTAGCTGAAACGCAGCAAATGTTAACAAACAGGCTGTTCTCCACCTGATTAAATTTGGTTTACCCTTCCTCTGCTCATAGGCCTCTGGATCTTTTTAGTGACTTCCCAGATTAGGTTGCAACAAAGAAGATTGAGGGGGTGGAAGGAAGGTGCACGTGTCATGAATGTCTCTTTCTCTCCCAAGGCGTCGGAGATTGAAAATGAGTTGTCACTGACCCGAAGCCCCATGAAAGCCACGAAACTCAATCGATATTTCTGCCCCATTTCACTGCAGAGCCAGAGAGGTAATTATTGCAAATGTCATGGTAACAAACGTAGTGGGTTTTCACAATGACCGTTGCCACTGCAGAAATAGCCTAGCACAGAGCAAAAATTAACTGTCAGTGCCTCATTATGTTCATCTGACACCTGCGTGTTCAATTCACCGTCAGGCTGCAGCTGACACAAAGCTCCTCCATGCTCCCTCACTGCTCCCGTCAGCACTAGCTCAACAAGTTCTTATGTAGGTCCCACAGTGGCCTCTGAACACCTGCATTAGATGCTGGAATCCCAGGAACTCCCTATAGATTTTTTTCAAGGAGCCTCTGCTTGAACTCCACATACAACGGGATAGAATGCGGCTTGACTCTGGTTCCAATGCAGATTACGTTGTGTTAGAAGTGGTGTAAGGGGGAATGCAGCAGCCATTCACCAGGAGCTCAGATACATCCTTGGATACGAGAGCCTGTTTGAGATGAAGAAATGTCCCCGACGGCTAAACCTGTTTCCTGCTCTTCGGGTATGTCTAGACTGCATCCCTCTGTCGGCAGAGGGATGCAGATTAGGCAGGTCGACATTGCAAATGAGGCAGGGATTTAAATATCCCGTGCCTAATTTGCATAAAAATGGCCGCTGCGTTTTTCCGTCTTGGCACTTTGTCGTCAAAAAGCAGCAGTCTAGAGGGGGATCTGTTGAGAAAGAAAGCCTTTTTTCAACAGATCCCTTATGCCTCCTGCAAGGAAACCACAGTTTTTGAGTCCTTCTGCAAAAATGATAAAGGTGGGGGAAATAGGTATAACAGAGGACAGTCAGGTCTAGTGGCTAGTGCAGCGGACTAGCACTCAGGAGAAGTAGAGTCTATTCCCAGCTATACTATTGGCCTGCTGAGTGACCTGAGACAAATCACTTCCCTGTTCTGTGCCTCAGTTTCTCCATTTGGAAAACTGGGATACTGACACTAGCCACCTTTGTACAGTGCTTTGAGATGTACAGTTGAGAAGCCCCATGTAATAGGGTTTCTTGGGGCTGAGTGTATTTGTAGTTTATACCCATTAGCTGGAACCACCCCACAATGTACACAGCAATTAAATACAGCAAAAAATATAGACCAAACCATGTGCACAAACATCTTACATTTCTCTTCTATATCTGCCCCTTTTCTGTTTCAGTTTGGTGTTTCACCAAAAAAAAAAAAATGCAGGGAAAAATATTTTTCAGTGACATTTTTTTGAGCCTCTCTCGCTGACTCACCACAGGCTGAACCTCTCTAGTCTGGCACCCTCAGGTCCTGACTGGTGTCAAACAAGAGAATTTGCCAGACTACGGGAGTTCAATATGGTCTAGCAGCATCCCCAGCACTTCCACTGCTTACTGGGCTCTTAGAGGACATTTGGGGGGTAAATTAGAGCTAAATAACAACACAGAATACTGAGAGCCGTAAACGAACTTTGTGGGACTGTGGGAAACGGCCACACCTATGATAACTGGACATCCAGCTAACTAACATCATGCCGGACCATGGATGTTGCTGGACTGGAGAGTGCTGGACTAGGGAGGTTCAGAGGTAGGGTTTGTTTCCAGATAAGTTGGTACAATTCTTTTCTCTGCTTGCATTTTTAGGAGCTTTCAAGATGGAAAAAATGAAATAGAAAAGCCTTTTAGATACTTGTAAAAAATTCTTTTTGCTTCTAGCTTGCAGCCTTTGGCCTGAAGGGGATGTGGAAATCCGGATGCCTCATCAAAAGCTGACTGTGATTCTGTGCCTCTGTCACCTCCTCTCCCCAACACCCTTGCTCACACACGCTAATAAAAACACCACTCAATATCCATTTCTTTCAGTCGCTCCCCCCTTCCCCTGGCAGGCTCCCCGTTCTGTCATGGCTGCCTTTCATTGGAAGCCACATCCCAGGAGGGTTAGTTAGCTCCATACTCCGCCTCCGAGTGCCACAGCGGGAGAGAGCATGTTTTCCCTCACCTGTCATTAGCAGCACCAGCTACGGGACCCTCTTCCAACCTGCGCAGAGAAGGGCAGAGTGATGGCTTCAGAAACCAGCTGGGAGAGGGGGAGGCAAGGCTGCCTAACTGCAGACACAATGGAAAATGCAGCATGATACAGCCCAAAACTCAGTACCAGTCTATAGCAAATCCCCAGATTCCATGATAAAGAGCATCTGTGAATCACCCATGAGCTGTACCATTGTGGGAGATGGACTTAATGGAGCAGTTTAATCAATGACGCCCCCTAATCTAATTGCAGAGAGGAGAGGGTAGAGCCATTACACCCCCTGAGGTGATTTGGGGGCAGTGTGGTTTTTCTTTTTAAGAGGAAGACAGGAAGAGAAGCAGCAACAGCTAAATAGGCCTGGGTCTGCACTAGAACTTTTTTTTAAATAGCCCCCCTCCCCAAGGTTGAATTTATAAGCAGAGCGTCTACATTACCAAGCCTGTTATTTCGAAATAATGGGCCGTGGTATTCCAAATCTGTCCTCCTGCTTTTTATCAGGAGTAACGCTTTCCCAAATAGTGGCACAGGCACATCCACATGACCGCCATTTGGAAATAACTATTTCAAAATACAGTAACTACTCCCCAGAATCATTCCAAGTGATTACACCCCAGTGCTTCCTGGAGCTCTAAGTCTGAGGTATCACATGCACACTAACGGAGCCTGCCTTGGACTGATTTTGAGGCTTCTCCATAGTGAGGACACGCTAGTTTGATTCTGAAAAATCGGGAGTTATTACATTGAATTTACTAATTTCACAATAGTTTCCTAGTGGAGATACGGTCTAGGAGGCTGGGCAGCGGTATCAGAGAAGTGGCTATTTGGTTTTAGCAACTGTGCTGGTGAGCCTGGGGCAAGAAGATCATCAAGTCCAGCCCCCTGTCCTAGGCAGGACCAATCCCAACTACATCAACCCAGCACAGGGCTTTGTCAAGCCGAGACTTAACAATCTCTAGGGATGGAGACTCCAGTACTTCCGTAGGTAACCCATTCCAGCGCTTCTCCACCCTCCTAGTGAAATTGTTTTTCCTAATATCCAACCTGGACCTCTCCCACCGTAACTTGAGACCATTCCTCCTTGTTCTGCCATCTGTCACTACTATGAACAGCCTCTCTCCATCCTCTTTGGAACCTCCCTTCAGGAAGTTCAAGGATGCTATCAAATCCCCCCTCACTCTTCGCTTCTGCAGACTAAACAGACCCAAGTCCCTCAGCCTCTCCTCATAAGTCATATGCTCCAGCCCTCTAATCATTTTGGTTGCCCTCCGCTGGACCCTCTCCAATGCGTCCGCATCCTTTTTGTAGTGGGGGCCCAGAACTGGACACAACACTCCAGATGTGGCCTCACAAGAGCCGAATAAAGGGGAATAATGACATCTCTGGATCTTCTGGCAATGCTCCTCTTAATGCAACCTAATATGCCATTAGCCTTCTTGGCTACAAGGACACACTGTTGACTCATATCCACCTTCCCATCCACTGTAATCCCCAGGTCCTTTTCTGCAGACCTGCTACTTAGCCAGTCGGTCCCCAGCCTGTAACAATGCTTGGGATTCTTCCATCCCGAGTGCAGGACTCTGCACTTGTCCTTGTTGAACCTCATCAGATTTCTTGTGGCCCAATCCTCCAATTTGTCTAAGTCACTCTGGACCCTATCTCTGCCCTCGAGTGTATCTACCTCTCCCCCCAGCTTAGTGTCATCCGCAAACTTGCAGATGGTGCACTGCACCCCCTCATCCAGGTCATTAATAAAGATATTGAACAACACTCGCTTTTAGCTCAAGCTGTAGATGAGGGCTGGGCAAGATGCGGCCCGGGGGCCGGATCTGGCCCACCTCACCCTTTGATCCAGCCCCCGACTGCATCTGGATGCTTTCTATTTATATCCTGCTGCCCATGCCAAAGAATTTCCAGGTGGAGGCTCAAGCAGCAGGATCCTATTTAAATGGCTCACGGTTGCAGAGCTACCCCGGAAGGGGCCAGAGCCATGAGCCCTTGAAATGGCCGCAGCAACCCCAGGTGGCTGCCAGACAATGCGATAGCGGAGCAGCTGCGAGCCTTTAAATTGCTGCTATTTAAAGGGCTCACAGCTCCTGGCCTTGCCGCTACCACGTTGCCTGGCAGCCGCCTGGGGTTGTCGTGGCTATTTAAAGGGCTCATGGCTCTGGCCCCTGCTGGGGGTAGGGCCACAACCAGGAGCCCTTTAAATAGCTGCAGCAACCCCGGGCGGTTGCCAGGCAACGCGGTAGTGGAGGGGCCTGTGAGCCCTGTGCTGTGTTTTTAATTCAAAGTCTCTGGCCCCAGACAACTCTGAAGGGAGGCTAGTCTCCAGCCCCGCCCCTTTGGCCCTGGCCCCGCCCCTGGTGGGGTGGAGTCAGTCCATGACCACGTACCAAAATTCATTATGTGACCATCCCCCCCTTGAAAATTATTGCCCACCCCTGCTGTAGAGGCTCATGCACTGAGGTCCCAAGTTCGGTTCCGACCGTTGGACGTTACGCAGGTCCTGCTAACGAGAGCTACTGACGGGCAGAGGAAACCAGCTCCTTGAACAGAAAGTCTTGCCACCACCCCAAGGAGGAGGGGCTGGCGCCCTTTGGACTCTGAACCACCGGGGGCATTTCCGTGCCCCCCCCCCCCGGGACATCCGGCCCAGAACGCGGGAGTGGAACAAGCCCTGTTTCAGGTGCTCCGAGAGGTGTCCTGGCTGAGGAGAAAACTAGAGCGCAGCGATTTAACCAGCACAGCAATGCCTCCCCCTGCCCTGAGGCTTTCCTTGGCCATTCAGGCCACTCTGCGATGGTGCTGGGACAAGACCTAGCTTTACAGGCTTCAAAGACATCAAGGAGCAGCTCCTTGCTCTTTCATTGACAGGAAAGCCTTTGTGCTTCCGTGATTCCCCCTCTAGGCCCTTTTCAACACAGCCCACCCCTAAAGCCATCCTTCGGAGCCGCAATAGGGCATGTCCTTCCCCTGCCTGTCCTCTTGTGTGGAGCACGCTTTGACAGGAAACCCGCTGCCGAACACGGTCACTAATCAGAAGCATCCCAGCGGCTCTGTGCAGTACGCTTTGTAAATGGCTTCCCTGTGGCATTGAATCAGTTGTTTCAGCTGTTTATTCCCTTGTATATCACCAGGCTGTGGAGACTGTTGCCTAAGCGGCCTTTATTGGAGCTGAAATAAATATACGGCAGCCACTTAAAGTCCTATTGGAAGAATAAATTTTCGAGGCGCCGAACCCAAACATGGACAGTGAAAAGCAACCAGACCTGTGCGTGGAATGAGCTATGCAGCTGCCCCTGAAGTTTGGGGGGAGGCGCACAGTGGAGTCAGTGGGGCTGTGCTTTGTTGAAATCAAGGTTACTTCGCTTGTGGGCATGGCCTCAACAGCATGGGCAGCAGGCGAAGGCCCAGCTGAGGAAGACCACCAAAGCCCCGTCCCTTCCACAAGACCATATCCTTTCACAACCTTTCTCCCCACTGCCCCCAGGCAAGCCCCACTCAACACCAGGTGAGGGTTGTGGCTGGGG